TGTGTACTGCCCAGGTTGACAAATACCAAATGACCTGTTTGAAGGATGCATCATATCTCTGTCGTACCTATGCTAACCTCTCTCTCTAGGATCTCCAAATAATTTTAATGAACTCCATTTTTATTCTGTAGCCTATTGCTAACAGGATACAAAGGCCGTGTATCTGGTTGGGGTAATCTGTTTGACACCTGGGGTCCAGGATCACAGGCACTGCCTGACGTGCTGCAGCAGGTGAATCTCCCCATTGTGAACCGGGAAATCTGTAAGGCGTCCACTAAGATTAAAATCACAGACAACATGTTCTGTGCAGGTGAGTTTTTCCTAGGCACTTGGTGTGGCAGGCATAGTTCTTTGTGTCCTTGCAGTTGGGTAATGAACAATCCAAATAACAGCTTTCAAGGCCCACACTGTAAGGAACAGCATAGGATGAAGGCGGCTACTTTCATACTTTGGGAGAGAGGAGCACCAACTCTCATTCTGTTACTACTCCTGCCTCCATTCCTTTGCTCTCTGATGATTTGCACACCCTACCCCCACCCCAAATGGAGTAACTGACAATGTCTTTTCCCAAATATAAATAAGTCAGTAATGGCGTGGGTAGGCAGAAGAACCCTTCTAATTCACCTACCATTTTGACCCCCAAATTAGAGCACTATACAACATAGAACATCTCATACCTTTCTCCCTTACCTCTAGAAATGGCACCTGTCAGCACAGAACCAAAGTTAAATCATCACCATGCCCTAATTTAAGTTGCCTTGGATATATCCTAAACAACTCAGATGAGGGCAAAACATTTGTCTCTAATTTAGAAGACACACTTGGTTTCTTAGATTTATATCCCATGTTTCCTCCAAGAGCTCAAGCAACTTACATGGAAAATCTCTAACAATAAGGTAGGTTGGGCTGAAAAAGAGTGACTGGCCCAAACTCACCCTGTACATTTCCACGGCTAAGGGTGGACTTAGCCCTTACCTCCTGACCTCCATAGTCCCAGTCCACATCTTGGTAAGTGAAATCAACAATTGCCATTTATTCAAATTATGATTAAATGCTTTAGTGAAATGTTAAAAACAGGCAATTGTGAAACAAATCCCTCTAATGAGATAAACCAGGCCGCAGAGCTTAATGATCGTGCAACCTCCTTTTACCTTGTGTTCAAATGTAGTTTTTCTCAAACTATGTACTCCAGATGTAATGGACATCAACTCCCATAATTCCCCAGTCAGCAGCTCTGCCACTTAAAATCCCAGGTCATTTGCATGGGACCAGGTTGTGAAAGAGTAATATAGACAAGTGGACAAGTGTGTGACAAGCAAATTTAATCAGTAGATTTATAACTGAGCTCTCTTTGGAAAGTGCTATGTTATTAGTGGTGTAATTTATTTATTTAATGCATTGCATACAGTTAGAAATGCAAATTCTATGTGACAACTCACTTATGGTTTAAACAAGTCATATCATATGGGCTGAAGTTTTCAATAGAAAAAAAAAAATCTATTGAGCATCTCATGTGCAACAAAAACATCAATTTTCTGCCACATTATTTGAATACCAATTATGACTCTTGTCCATTAACCTCTCATTTTATACAGCCCTCAAAAGATTATGGTGAATTGATAGAGGCATTTTCCAGAGTTTTAGCCAAATGTTTTTAGCTTAGATGTATAGAACTTTGCCTTCAATGGGATTAAAATATTAATAAAAGATCTGATACTAAATATTGCAGCTTGTGAAATTACATTTGTTTGCAATCATTCTACAGACTGATAATTTAAAGCATGATTGCCAACAGGTACATCTTATGACAGCAAACATGCTAAACACCCTACAAAGTCATGCAGTTGTTGCATACCAACAACAAACAGAAGGCAATTTATTTGTCTCTGTTCACACACTACAAGAAAACCAGTCATTAGCCTCTGGTGGAGTGTGGAGTGTGAACCCAGCTGAAAATGACTCCAGTTAAACAAAGCAACCCTAGCTTTACAAACCTGAGTTAAACACATTGCAGCAAGTGAAGCAGGTCATACTGTTCCATGAGTTTCAAACTGATTAGCTCAGGAGATACGTTAAAAGCTAAGGGGGAAAAATAAATGATGGTAGAACAGAAAAATGTAGGAAACAGAGTGGAGCCTCTCTACTGATTGCTCATTTCCTCTTTTAGGTTATAGTCCTGAAGAAAGTAGGAGAGGAGATGCTTGTGAGGGTGACAGCGGGGGCCCTTTTGTCATGAAGGTAAGTGTTTCTATGTGCTGCTTCAAAATATAACCGGGCAACCTGCTGGTGTCACAGGCCCTCTGTTTATCAGTCTGCAGCAAGACCCAGAATGCAATTTCCCCCTAATACTGTTCTCCTTTTCAGCGAAGTTCTTAAAGACTGCATCTTCACCTTAAGAGCATTACAGTTAATTAAGCAGTAATTCATTCCATTAAGAGCAGGAAAGCAGAGATTTGGAAAGGAATAACCACAAATGGGGGAAGGAAATAGTGGCTCTCCCCCAATTACCGTTATGGGTGTGGTACATCTAGGTGTACACAGCAGATACAGCCCTTGAATTACAGCAGTGCTCACTCTGAGCTCAAGACCAGATCAATCAGTTTCAGACAAAGCTTGGCATAGGGCAGGGCTGGGAAACAAGACTTTGTTTTTAAACTTCCTGCCTCACTTAATTTCAATTTAGGAGTCTTAATAAGAGCAATCACCAGCCAGGCTGTATGATCTTACTTGGGGAAAAAAAAAAAGAACCTTACTAACATAGCCCAAATTCTGCAGATCTTTCCCTAAACCTTAATTAATTCTGCTGCTGAATATTCCCTCCACCCGACCCCTTTTCAAATGAGGGTGAAAAGCTAGACCCAGAAACGTTCATATGCCACCTCTTCCTTGCTTATAGTCTTGCAGATTACACAGTCCTGCGGCCGCTGCTGCTTATCTTTCTTTAAATGACCTATGTATACTATTTGCAATTTGCTGACTCTCCCTTTGATGCTGCGGCACTTCTTTCCTCCCTACCAGCGACCAGCAGATGAACGGTGGTTTCAAGTAGGTATTGTCTCATGGGGAGAAGGCTGTGATCGTGATGGCAAATATGGATTCTACACCCATCTGTTCCGTCTGAAGAAATGGATGCAAAAGACTATTGAGAAATATGGGCGTTAAACAGAAATTAAAATCTGCATTTGCACCAAGCCTAAGGATGGAAATATACCTGAGTCATACCTCAATAAAGGTTTTTGGACAAAGCACTCGGTTTCTTCCTGGTATCAACCACAGGTAATTAAGTTCTCTTGCCGCCAAGGCAAATGCATCAGCCGCATAAGCCAGACGATGGAAGGACAGCTCAGTCCCAGGCACGATCGCCCAAAGTGCTCCTTTAGAATCATGCAGAACATTCCTGCATTCCCAGATGTATTCCTTTAACATAGGAAGCTCTGGGGCAAATGATACAAGCTTACTCGAAGTCCGATTTCCTGTTCCTTTGGAGAGTAAAGTGGTCCGAAGGAAAGAAATTATAAATAGCAGAGTTCTAACATGGCACGAAGAAAAAAATGGGAAAGTTTTGCATTCAGTTCAACCACGTACTTTGTTCTATTAGACAAAAACCAGCCTTTTCTGTTTTTTTGGGGGGGGGTTAAATCCCTTCTGCTTGAAAGAAGGTAACAGCAGCTTTCATCCTAAATTTCACAGAATTGATTCCATCACTGGAGAGGTTGCTACCTCCTTAAAGGGCAGGCTGCTGAAAAGGCATATTTGGATCAATGTTGTCTAAGGCTCATGCCCAGAAGCAAGAAGATAGGCTTGTCTGTTAAAGTTTGGACATAAGGGCATTTATTCAGTTAATATTTCCCCCTGAACAATCAAGGGGTATCCATTGGAGGGGGGTAATTTACAGTTTCATTTGTAACTTCAAAGCCTTAAACCTCTGGCAAACATTTTGACACTTCAAACACTCAATGGTTTAAAGAAAAAGGTAAAAATGAAACACAGATGCAATGGGCAAACAGAAACAACCACCATCACCTCATACTCTCAATTAAGAGAGAGATTTGGATTAGATTTTTCACTCAACAAATGGTTAAGGAAGACTTCTGAGCAATATGGTCCATTTTTCTTGGAACTATTCTATTTATAACAATTTCCCAAGTCCCTTTTCCTGCTTCTATTACGCTAATTAATTTTGAAGTTATTTTATTAATACTGTTGTACATATACAATTTTTCTGTTAGTTTAGTGCAACAGATATTAAAAATGAAGAGAAACACTCCTATATGGCAATTGGAAAAAAAACTGAGTTAACTAGTAAAAGCTACCATTTTAGGCATATACAGTATTCTGGAGGCATAGAAATCTTCCAGTTCACTGCTTTTGGAGACATAGAACCAAACGTGTTGCACAGACATCATGGAAAAACTAGATCATGATTCCTAAGAAATGGGGGGAGGAAAATCTACCTATAACTAAATGCTTTTTCATTCAAAGTGATATAGTACTTAGAATTTAATTCAAGACACTAAATATCAACCAGATATTTGGTTTAATTTAGCTTGAAAGTATTCTCAATTTCTGTAGTTCATGCAAAAATTCTATAATTAAAAATATTTATGTCCAAACTCAGTGAGAAACCTGAACTACCATGACAGTATTTAACACTGACAGGTCATAACAAAAGCCTTGTACATTCTTTATAATATGATTTCTTTGCAAAAATAGTTTTATCATAGGTTCCTAGTAAAATGAAGTAGTGCCAGTCACACAGTACCTCTCCCCGTGGTCTGATGGAATTGTGATGCTGACATTGGAACCAGCTGAATTATCAATGCTTTCATACAGTGGGGCAAAAAAGTATTTAGTCAGCCACCAATTGTGCAAGTTCTCCCACT